TTCGGAGGGCATCCGCCAGACGTTCACGCTTCCGGCCTCCCCGCAGCAAAATGGGATTGCTGAGCGCCGCATTGGCATGGTCATGGACGTCGCTCGTACGTCCATTATCCATGCGGCTGCTCCCCATTTTCGGTGGCCGTTCACGGTTCGGTACGCTGCGCATCAGATCAACCTTCAGCCTCGTGTCTCCTTGCCGGAGACCACACCTACTCTACGGTGGACGGGGAAGGTTGGCGATGCGTCCGCGTTCCGTGTCTGGGGATCTCGAGCTTTTGTCCGCGATACTACAGCAGACAAGCTGTCCTCCCGTGCCGTTCCCTGTGTCTTCCTTGGCTTACCTCCTGACGCACCCGGGTGGCAGTTCTACCACCCCACCTCGCGTCGTGTTCTGTCCTCTCAGGACGTCACGTTTGACGAGTCGGTGTTGTACTACCGTCTCTTTCCCTACCGCACTGCCTCTCCCCCCCCCCCCGCCGCTCTTCCTCGCACCAGGTACTCCCTTGGTAGACCCCCTCACCCCCCAGGGGCCTGCCCCCTTAGGTGTGTCCCAGGTAGACCCTGCCGAGCCGGTCGAGGTAGCTGTCGACTCAGGTGCTGAGTCTGGGGGTGATTAGCCTGCGGGTGCGGGGACTGGGGGTGCTGAGTCTGGGGGTTCTCAGTCTGGGCGTGCTGTGCCTGGGGGTGCTGCGCCTGGGCGTGTGGAGCCTGAGGGTATTGTGTCTGGACGTGCTGAGCCTGCACGTGCTGCGTCTGGAGGTGCTCTTGGTGTCCCGCCGCGGTGAGAGCCTCTCTCTCCACAGCGGCTTTGTGAGTGGTACTCTCGGCTCTGTCAGGGTGCTGCTGAAGCTACTGGAGGTCCTGCTGGGGCTTCTGGAGGTGCTGCTGGTGCTGGTGCTTGCTGGAGGTGCTGCTGGTGCTGGAGGTGATGGTGGAGGTGCTGCTGGTGCTGGAGGTGCTGCTGGAGCTTCTGGAGGTGCTGCGGGTGCTGGTGCTGCTGGAGGTGCTGCTGGTGCTGGGGGTGCTGCTGGTGCTGGTGCTGCTGGAGGTGCTGCTGGTGCTGGAGCTGCTGCTGGTGCTGGAGCTGCTGGAGGTGCTGCTGGTGCTGGTGCTGGAGCTGCTGGAGGTGCTGCTGGTGCTGGAGCTGCTGGAGGTGCTGCTGGGACTGGAGACCCTAGGGCTGAGGGTACCGGTTCTGTCTCTGCTGTTTCTGGAGGCGCTGTGCGGCCGCGGCCGTACTACGTTCCGCTTCTTCAGCAGGTTCTTGGCTCCCCGCCTTCTCCTGGTCCTCCTCCTCCTTCCCTGAGTCCACCGCCTGTCCCGACTCAGTCGCAGTTACAGCCGGCCTCTCCACTGCCTGGTCCTTCTCCTTACTCTGGACCGACTAGAGGTCTTACGGAGCGTCGTGAGCCTGAGTCGCGTCCTGTGTCGCTTGTGTCTCGTTCTACGTCGCCTGTCCGTTCTGTTCGCGCTGGTCGTGTTTCGCGTCCGCGTCCTCCTCCTGTCCCTGGCACTCACTCTATGACACTGCGTCCTTCCACTGCTCCACAGCGTGTCCCTCTGCCGTCCCCCCCTGCGTCCTCTCTTCCTGCCGGTCCGGACCCTGCGTCTGACTCCCTCCGTGCTGCTCGTCCAGCTGTCACGCGTTTTCTGGCCACTGCTGTCACTGACCCTTTTTTTGAGTCCACTGCTGCGTCTACTCTCGTTGCTCAGCTTGTTGACTTTGCTGCTGCCTGTCACCTAGACTTCGCCACTAGTCTTGTTGCTGAGTCTGCGTCTGCGTCTGTCTGTCCTTCGTCCGTCGGGGGAGAGTGTGCTCTTGGCATGGACGTTCTTGAGGACAGACAGGAGGAGTTTGAGTGCTTTGCTGCTTCTGTACCTCATCTCGTGTCCATGCTGCTTGCCCCTGAGGGAGACCCGGATGCACCAGACATCCCGACCCCGCGCTCTTACGCAGAGGCGATAGAGGGTCCCTACTCCTCTCAGTGGCAGGCAGCCATGGACGCCGAGATGGCTTCCTGGAAGTCCACACGCACCAACGTCGACGAGGTTTCCCCGCCTGGGGCGAACTTCGTCAGTGGCATGTGGATCTTCAGGGTGAAGCGGCCGCCGGGTTCTCCGCCTGTCTTCAAGGCGCGTTACGTTGCACGTGGTTTCAGTCAGCGACAGGGAGTTGACTTCTTCCAGACCTTCTCCCCTACCCCGAAGATGACCACTCTTCGGGTACTACTGCACGTAGCTGCTCAGCGTGACTACGAGCTCCACTCGCTTGACTTCAGCACAGCCTTCCTACAGGGCAGCCTGCACGAGGAGATCTGGCTGCGCCGCCCACCTGGCTTCACTGGGTCGTTTCCCGCTGGTACCCAGTGGAGCCTCCGGCGGCCAGTCTACGGTCTCCGCAAGGCACCTCGTGAGTGGCACGACACACTCAGGACGACTCTTGCTGCTCTTGGTTTTGCTCCTTCCACTTCTGACCCTTCTCTGTTCTTACGCACTGACACTACTCTACCGCCGTTCTACGTTCTCGTGTACGTAGACGACCTCGTCTTTGCTACTGCTGACACTGAGGCACTCGCCCACGTAAAGTCCGAGCTGCAGAAGAGACACACGTGCACAGACCTGGGTGAGCTGACAAGCTATCTTGGCTTGCGGATCACCCGGGACAGAGCACAGCGCACCATTACCTTGACTCAGTCACACATGGTGCAGCAGGTCCTTCAGCGCTTCGGCTTCACGTACTCCTCGCCACAGTCCACTCCTCTGCCTACCGGTCACTCGCTCTCAGCTCCACCTTCGGACGAGTCCGTAGAGCCGAGTGGCCCGTATCCAGAGCTTGTGGGCTGCCTCATGTACCTGATGACTTGCACACGACCTGACCTCGCATACCCTCTCAGCCTTCTGGCTCGCTACGTGGCTCCCGGCAGGCACCGAAAGGTGCACTGGGATGCTGCGAAGAGGGTGTTGCGATACTTGTGCAGTACATCGGGCATGGGGCTCGTGCTTGGAGGACGGGCTCGAGTTGTCCTCACTGGTCACGCTGACGCCTCCTGGGTTGACGACTTGGCTACGCAGCGGTCGTCACAGGGTTACACCTTGAGTCTTGGCTCCGGTTCTGTCTCTTGGCGGTCTACCCGTTCTTCTTCTGTTCTCAGCTCGAGTTGTGAGGCTGAGATCTACGCTGGGGCCATGGCTGCACAGGAGCTACGCTGGCTCACCTACCTGCTGACCGACTTGGGAGAGGCGCCTCGTTCTCCTCCAGTTTTGTACGTCGACAACAAGGCCATGCTGGCCTTGTGTCATGAGCACAGATTGGAGCACAGAACGAAGCACATCGCTCTGCGCTACTTCCTTGCTCGAGAGTTGCAGCAGCGTGGTCAGCTTCGTCTTGCTTACGTTGCCTCTCAGGCCAACACTGCTGATGTTTTCACCAAGGCACTTCAGCCTTGTGATCATCAGCGTTTCTGTACTGTGTTAGGCCTTGTACCTACTGTGCCCCACTTGCTGACTTCTTGACTCTGCTTGTACTGTACTCTATATACTTATACCTGCATGCTTACTCTTGCTAGGTTGTGTTCACTGTATTGTTTGCTTTCCTTTATATAACTCTGTATGTGAACTGGCCTTGTGGCCCTTTGCTTGTGCTCAGACTGCGTGGTGACGTTGTGATCCACCCTAAGCTTGCTTTACCTTCTTGACTAGTCTTGTGACCTCTTGTTCTCCCCCACTTTGCCTATGGGGGTGTGTCAAACTTATATATGCTATAGTCTTTTTAGGCTGTAGTGGGGTAGTCCTTAGAGGGTACAACACTTTTGCGTTTTCTACTTGTACCCCACCTGTTTCCTAGTTCAATCATTCCTCTCATTATTCTCACAGAATGTTCTGCTGCTCGTTTGGCGTTAAGTTTCGAAGTATCGTGTACGCCATCAGCGACTGATACGTATACTGATGCTTATCATATTGTGTCCCATGCGTTGGGTATGGCAGGGACCCGTCGAAGAATCCAAGTATTTGCGCTCCCTCTATCATCAGCTCGAATTCGAATGACCAGGTATAGAAGTCCTTTTCGTCGAAAGGCGTTGATGTCTGCAGTTTTAACACATGTGCGAATTGTGATTGAACTTGAAGTGCGTCCAATGTCTTCTCTTGTCCAGGTGAAGACTGTGGTTGTGGCGCGAAGCTGATGGAGCCACGTTGAGGTTCGTACGGAGCAAAGGTGGGTTGTTGCTGATTTCCGCGCGCATACGATGAACCGTCAAGGCTCATTGGAGTAGCCTTGTTGTTGTTGTCACTGTTGTTTGATTGCGCAGGAGCTGCTTGCTGATGTTGCTCGTAGAAGGACATGAAGGAGGAGAATTTTGTGTTGCCATGTCTTGTGTTGTCATAAAATTTTTGGAAATCGATCTTGCCTTGTTTGCTCTCTTAGCACGTTGATCTGAAAACTAGCCCTTAGGATCTTTCAAGGCTAAGATCTAGTTGAAGTAGGAATGTTGTAGTTTGCGGAAGCGTTAATATAAGAGTTGTTGAACCACCTTGTATTGGTGTGTGAGAACAAGATAAGTTGATAATAGCAGAGAAATACAAGGCTTTTATATGATTACAAAGCAATATGAAAAGTTCTACTTTTAACTGTTTTTGCTGTTGCGGTTCGATACAGTGCCGACTCAGGTAACTGCTCAGTATCGAGTCAGTTATGTGTCCTTATTGTCGCACTGTATTTTTTGTTGAGTCAAAGGTCAGCGACCTTTGACCTTCGCGTAACCTCCAGCGGTTGCTTTTGTTGACTCGTGTTGCTTCACTGTAGTTTGCTTCGTTTCGTGTCGATACTTCGATACTTCAGAGGCGTTTAAGTTACTTGTTTCCAACATACCTCATCGTTCCTAGTGCACCTCCATTCCGCTGTTCTATTTCTGACACATTCTATTAACATGGCTGCGTAATGTAATGCTGGTGTTTTCCTTCCATCACACATGATTTCTTGTTCTACCAGTATGCCACAGTTGGTATCAGTCCTTTCTTGCATGGTCCCACCCAGTGTACACGAACTCCTTGGAGAATTTCTGCGCCTTCCAGGCAGCTGCAGCAGCTGCCACGGCCAGCAGGGCAAGCGGCACACGAGCACGCAGGGAGGTGGAGGCGGCAGCAGCAACAGCGGCGAGCAGGGAGAGTGCGGGCAGCAGCAGGTGCACTCTCTGCAGGGTGGCGAGGGCGGAGGAGCAGGAGGTGCAGTGCGCCGTGTGAGATGCCATTCGGTCCAACACCACCTCCTTGGGTGCCGGCTTGTGGGGCAGGGACACGCCTGAGAAGGCAGGTGGGTAGGCCACGGCTCCACCTGGTGGGGGCAGAGACAGGTGGAGCAGGCGGGAGGCAGCCTTGAGAGGGAGAGCAGGGGGATACAGCCATGACTGGTGTAAGGAGCTGTAAATTGCACTGTAAGCGGTGTGTGGAAACAGGAAGTCGTGAAGTCAAGACTACTTAGAGCGGAAGCACAAATATTTTGGTCGAGCGAAGGCTTATCGATCGACAACAAGCTTGTCATAAAATTTTCTTCACAAGTGTAAGCTTCCGAACAAAAACAATTTTCGCATGGGAACGCAAAAAACTCGGTTGGCAAGCGATCAACCTTTGGCCAGAGACGAATGAGCACTCGCGCTCTAAGGAGCGCGCAGCAGATGCACAAATCAATAGGACGAATAAGCCCATCCCCAATACCGTACCACCAGTTACAGCCTCTCACAGGGCAAAAAACATGGTGCACGCATGGGCATGACCATGGGCATGGGCATGGTCATGGCCATGAGCATTGGGCATGGGTATCAGCATGGGTATGAGCATGGGCATCGGCATGGGAATAAGCATGGGCATGGGCGTGGGCGTGGGCGTGGGCATGGGCGTGGGCATGGGCAGCGCGAAGCGTGTAAGTGCATGCAGGGATGAGGGCACACACCGGCATACTTGGCGAGCCACTGTCTGAAGGCGACGACAAAGAGGTCGGACGAGGTGGGCATGTAGAACGCCCTCCACCCGCTCCCCCTCCCGCTCCCTGCTCCCAGCTCTGAATCCCCCTCATTGCCCTCTCCTTGCGCGCCCTGCTGCTGCTGCTGTTGCTGCTCCCAGTGCTGCAAGGTTCGCTCCTGGCAGTGCAGGAAATAGGCATCGCCTGGTGGCAGGCATGGGCATGGGCACAAGGAGACATCCAGTGTGGCAGACAAGGGGCGATGGGGCCATTGCTTAATCCAGTGCAGCAGCTTGTGCTGCTCCATTTGCGAGTGCAGGAAATCGGCATCACAGTGGCATCACAGTGGCATACAATGAATGAACTAAGTGGCAGAACGAAGAAAAAAACGGGAATGGTGAATCTATCAAATGAAGAAAAATGAGAAACCAATGGGGGTGGGACGGGAGAAGGGAGAGGAAGTAAAATACACCAGTTTTGGCAAAATAAGGGAATGGAAGTGGAAGATGGGTAGGAAGTAAGGTTCTCAAGTGGCACATGTCATGTTCAATGCCCCCACCATGCCACCATCACCCCACCATCACCCCACCATCACCCCACCATCACCCAACCATCACCACCCCATCACCCCCCCATCACCCCCCCATCACCCCCCCATCACCCCCCCATCACCCCCCCAGCATCCCACCAGACAACCCATCACAGTCCCCATCAACACAACCCCCCCTCCAACTCCTCCCCCCCCCCTTCTTCCTCCTTTCCCCCCATCCCACGCACCATCGTAGATCTGGTGCTGGCGGAGGTGCACGGACCAGGGCGGCAGGGGGAAGCCCATCTTCTTGCCGTCGCCGCGCTTCAGCATCTGCAGGCTCACCACGATGCTGCTGCCGGGCGCACTGGGCGTCATGTACAGACACAGCGTGAACGCATTGGGTGGTGCTGCTTCCTTGGGCTTGCTCTTAAAGAAGGGGAACTTCGGCTGCTGCTGCCTGTTGGGGAGAGAGGGTGCGAGAAGCCAGAGGGGGGAGGGCAGGCACAGGCAGAGGGTACAGCAGTTTGAGGGTGCAGGGTCGTCATGATGTTGCTGGTGGGGGCTTGATGCAAGGTCAGGAGGTGGGAGAGGCAGAGAGAACTGGGAGGTGGCGCAGTAGGTTTTCAACGAGGGGGCGTTCGCAAAAGAAGTAGCTTGACAAGGCGTATGCAGGATTGTTAAGGGTGGGGAGGGAAGGGTAGGGAGAGACGAGCAGAGAGACTTCTTCATGCAGTCTGCAATGGATTTCAGATGCGTGCCAGGGACCACTATTTCAGGTTGTAAAGCATTTGCGGACTGTATGGGCGGAATCATTAGAGGTAGCACTGAGTAGCACCACTTGAGGTAGCACCGGAATAACACCTGCAGTAGAAACCGCGTAACACATGAGTAGCGCCCGGATATTACTTGAGGTAGTAGGTGTAGACGACGAGCTGGGGCGCTTGGAAGGCGAAGTCGGAGGGCAGCTCGGAGCTCACCATGTGGAAGGGGCCGTGGAAGCCAGCCGCACCCTGTGGGGCGTGTTGCGGTGTGGTGTGGTGAGGTGGTGTGATGCAATGTGATTATCATGTTATGGTGTAATTTGATGTGATGCGATGTGTGTGGGTGGGTGGGATGTGCAGGTTCGCATGAACCAAACCACTCAAGCGAACGGAAAGGTAACTCCAGGAAGGACATAGCACATGCATGCACCTATAGATAAGTAGATGCATACACGCACTCCTGGAGCTCCCTCCCTTCCCCTCCCTCCCGCTCTCCTTCCCACCGTGCACTTCCCTCCCCCCCATTCCACCCTCTCTTTCCCTTCCTTACCCTCCCGTCTCCTCCCTCTCACCCTCCCACCCTCTCGCCCTCCCACCCTTCCTCCCTCCCCCCCCCCCTCACCCTTCCCCCTTCCTCCCCCCACCCTTCCCCCTCCCACACCCCACCCTTCCTTCCCACCCCCCTGCACCACGCACCGACTCAACGACAGCGATCTGCGTCATGGGGCCGCCCTGTTCCCTCGTGGTGGTGCCCACGCCGTGGTGCGAGAAGGGGAAGTGCGACGGGTCGGCAAGGTTCTCTCCGAGGAACTCAAACCCGTACGGCAGCAGCCGGGAGTACGCTGGGAACACTGTGTACTCGTTGAAGTCCACCCCATTAGGGAGGGGGAGAGGGGTTGCCTCCGCCTGGTGTGCTGAGTGCTCATCCGGCCACACGAACAGCACTCCCTGGACAGATGGGTGGGGGATGGGGCGGGTGATGGGGCGGATGATGCGGCAGGGGATAGGGGTGGATGGGGTGGTAGATGGGGAGGGTGAAATGGGATTTGGGCATGAATGCAAGTGGCTTTAACTGCTCGCACACGCATGTCTGCTGCCCCCACACGCATGTCTGCTGCCCGCACTCGCACCTCTGCTGCCACCACTCATTCACTTACATGCATCTCTTTCACTTACATGCATCTCTTTCACTCACATGCATCTCTTTCACTCACATGCATCTCTTTCACTCACATGCATCTCTTACACTCACATGCATCTCTTACACTCACATGCATCTCTATGCACCTCTTTCACTCACATGCATCTCTTACACTCACATGCATCTCTTTCACTCACATGCATCTCTTACACTCACATGCATCTCTTTCACTCACATGCATCTCTTTCACTCACATGCATCTCTTACACTCACATGCATCTCTTTCACTCACATGCATCTCTTTCATGGGGAAGGCAGTGGCGCAAGCGCGGGGGGAGGCGAGGGCGCGGGGGGGCTGCCCCGGGTGCTCCGGGGCGGCCTGGGGGATGAGCTCGCATGCGCCAGTGCCTGCAAACGCCCACCCGTGGTACGAACACGCCAGCCGCCCTGATGAGTCTATGCGCCCCTGGGGACGGGCGGACGGGGGGAAGGGAGGACACGTGGATGGGGGAGTGGAAGGGGGCGGAGGGGTTGGAGTGGGGGAAGAGGTGTGACTTGTGAAGCTGCTTCTCGCTTCGCTAGCAAGCACAGCGCACAAGGTGCCTTAACGAGACCTGACATCAATTGGTACGAGGAGAATGGGGAGTTCACGAGGATGGATGGGGAGTTCACGAGGATGGATGGGGAGTTTTTGAGGAGAATGGCATTCACGCACTGCTTTCTGCCATCATCCTCCTCGTCCTGGGAATAACGTCAATTGCTGCATGCTCGAGCTTCGGACAACGGCGGGAGGCGCAGGCAACTAGCTCGGAGAGAAGAGCTGAGCAATCCGGCAGAGGCTGGGTACCTCGGACACGCCTGGCATCGGTCACGAGGGAAGCACCAACTGGGGGGCACGAGGCGGTGGGGGCAGTAAGTGATTACCTCGGACAGTGGAACCAAGCGGTGGGGGCACTGGTCTGCGAAGCAGCGCCAGGAGAGGGAGGCGTCACGCCAGAGCACGAGGGGGCGGCCCACCACTGTGAGCGCGTGCGGCCGACTCGCGTCCATGTCCGCCGCCACGCCCACCGCGTACCACGCGCGACTCCACTCGAACCGCTCCGACTGCGCCGATTCCGCTCCGGCCGCCTGCACCGCCGCCGACGCGCTCAGCTGCTCCTCTGCGCCGCCCGCTACAGTCACGCTGCCTCCGCCGCTCCCCTCGCTAGAAGCCGACCCCGCCTGCAGCACGACTTTGGCAGGCGGCGATCGCGGGCCGGCGCGCAGAGCCCCACGCGCGCCGAGCGGAGGAACGCGCGCGCGCAGAGGCTCTACGCACGCCGAGCTTTCTCTCGGCTCCTGGCGCGGCTGCGCTGCGCGGACGACGCGGAGAGCATTTTCCCTCGTTTCGGCTCGACCAGGGTAGCGAGGAAAAGGCGATCTGTAGGTGACTGCAGCGGAAGCCACGCAAGGCGCTGGAGTAAAGAGAGAACCCATAGCTACCTCGAAAACGTCCACTCAGGTGGCGTTCCTTTAATTAGCGTTTCCGCACTTTCCGAAAGTCTTGAAGAAAGATCTCACGAGCTTCAGTTTTGGATTGTTTTTTCGCTGATCAATGCGGGCGGGCGGCACTACTACCGTTACGACCATCGCAGAACAGAGGCGAGCGAAGGGGCTTCTCAGCTCGGATGGACGCAGCAGCAGCGTCACGCCGTGCCCGTAGCCGAAGTCGGATTGGAGAATGCCGCACTCGCAATAGTGCCCCACATGTTCTCTCCGTACTCCTCCTCCAATACTGCCTTGGGGTTCTCCTCACCCTTGTGCTGCTCCTTGGCTGCTGCACCACTCTCCTTATGTTCACCAAGCTTGCTGGTCCCTCCAAGATTGCACTTCTTGGACTCAATCTCCTTAGTGTGACCGTTCGCGCCATCACCGCTACCAACCGCTTCACCCTTGGTGCTGATGCTTGCTGCCACTTGCTTTTCCTTAGGCATGGGTACCACAGGGATCTGCCACATCTCGTTGTAGACATCCCTATCCTCGTGAAGGTCCCAAAGAATCCGCTCGCCAAGCCTCGCGGTGTAGGTCTTAGCTCCCTTCGAGCTCGTGTCCATGCCGGCCTTTTGCAACCGCCGCACGGAAATCAGGTTCGCAGCAAGGTTGGGCACCCAAAGCACGTTTTTGAGGCCCACCATCTTCCCATCAGCACCCTTGAACATGGCCTTGCCCATGCCTTTCACCTCTGCTCGCTGCCCCAAAGCCGATGTCACATGCTTCACCGGTGACGGCTCAAGTTCGGTGAGCAAGTCCGCACGAGATGTCATGCTATAGGTAGCGCCGCTATCGATCACCCAATAGTCCAGGGAGTGTAGGGTGACCTTTCCCACAGCTGCTGGCTCCTCAAAGCTTTCATCATTCTCTGGACCAGCCGGTGCTTGCGTGGACACGAAGAAGAATTGACCCGGGAAGCGATCGTCCCTCGACTCGCTCTCGTTGCCGGCACTCTTCATACTTGCAGCACCACCTCCGCGACCGCCACGGCCTCCACGGCCTCTTCCTCTCCCTCCTCCTGCTCCTCTACCCTCTTGGCCTTGAGCAGGAGTCCATCCATTAGGGAGTTTGTAGCAATCGCGCCACATGTGTCCGCTCTTGTGGCAAAAATGACACTCGCCGTCGAACCGTCCGCGACCGCGTCCGTTGTTCTTGTTGTCATTGCCGTATCCGCTACTCCCGCAGCCTCCAAACCTTCCTCCTCCTCGTCCTCTGCCCCTTCCACGGCCATATCCACGGCCGATGCTTGCTGCCCCGGCGCCATCCGCACTCGCCAACTCACGGCGACGGAAATCCTCTTGAAGGATCGCTCGCTTCACGTCTTCGAGCGAGAGGCGGGGCAAGTCACGATTGAGGTTGATGATGAGAGAGGACCATGACTCTGGGAGTAAGGCCAGCAACTTGGTCTTCTTTTGGAGCTCACTGTAGTTCAAATCAGCTCCCTCAAGCCGCGTCAACAAGTCGAAGAATTTCTGCACCCCTTCTTCAACCGCTTCGTCTTCTTCAATTCGTAGTGCCGCCATTTGCCGTTCCAACACCACTGCTACCGCCGCTGTTGCAGGAGCATGTACACCCTTGAGAGCAGCCCATGCCTTTGGTCCCTTCTCTGGTTCACGCTGGAATGGCTTGATGTGACGGATCTGGCTGCTCCCCAACGCTTGCCCAAGTAGGAGATAGCCCTGTGCGCTCTTCCGCACCCACGGGCTCTTCTCTGGGTCGTTCTCGGGGCGCTTCTCCGTTCCTTCCATCACCTCCAGCAGGTCATAGTGGTCAAAGATGTTCTCCATCTTGAAAGACCATTCAGCAAAGTTGTCACCGTTGAACTTGTCAAGCCCAAACACCCTAGGCTCATCCCTAGGTGGGCCAAGACTTGGTTGCATGGGCGCCATGGCTGAATCACGGGGTTGGCCTTGAGCTTGAGCTTCTCCACTGCCACCAGCACCTCTGCCACCCCTTTCCTCAGGTCCAGCCATTGTCTAAACTGCTCCAAGGGGCTCTGATACCACTTGTTATAGTCACAATAGGCTTGAATGTGCCTAAAACGAAAGATAGAGAGCACAGACGGATTTCTGCACAGCGGCTTCAAACGTTGATAGCATCGGAAAGCAGATACTGCATCGGAAAGCAGATACTGCATGGGAAAGCAGATACTGCATGGGAAAGCAGATACTGCATGGGAAAGCAGATACTGCATGGGAAAGCAGATACTGCATCGGAAAGCAGATACTGCATGGGAAAGCAGATACTGCATGGGAAAGCCGATACTGCATGGGAAAGCAGATACTGCATGGGAAAGCAGATACTGCATGGGAAAGCAGATACTGCATCGGAAAGCAGATACTGCATGGGAAAGCAGATACTGCATGGGAAAGCAGATACTGCATGGGAAAGCAGATACTGCATGGGAAAGCAGATACTGCATGGGAAAGCAGATACTGCATCGGAAAGCAGATAGCGTTCTGCTCACAGCTGCAAATGACTTGATTCAAATTGGATCTGGAGCGTCTTTACGTCGTCTACAATAAGCAATTTAGATTGCACGATTTGATAAAGAATTGACGACACAGCGTTGGTTTGAACGAACGGTACTATGGCAGTCATTATAGTCTTAGAACACAAGATAGGAAGAGTTACGAGTTGGGAATGACTCCCAGCTCCTACAAACCCCAAGAGCCGAGGTACAGTGATGTGGAACAGTGCCACACTGTCCCCAACCACGAAGGGTCTCGAAACTACCCTCACAAGGGCCTACACCAAGAGAAATGTTACACTACACAAAGTAATGCAACTATTCTCACTATCTTAAAGTTTACCCTTTTTGAGAGCTTCGAAATCACTTGATTCTTGAAACCAAGGCTCTGGTTCTTCAAGGTAAATTCTTCCTTGAGTTCTTGGAAGTCTGCTGCGCACACCTGCGACACGCCGAACGTTCCACTCACGACAAAATAGAAAACCGCACACGACACGCAAACGACGACGTGACACGCGACTAGCGATAACTCGCTATTGACTCGACACACACATTCAAAATCATGCCTCATCATTCACACACTATTGTAAGCATGAAATATATATTATTTCATGCCCTCATACCATTCCATGCACACACGCATGCACGCACACGGACAACAAGCCGAATGCAAACCGTAGGGTTGCACCAACACTCTTCTGGTACACCGAGCTCTTCTTGTTTGGCGCCGAAGATGCGATAGGAGGTTGTCACAAGTTCTGTCTCTATCATGCCTTCAGTTGGTGTCGCGGCGCTTTCTGCTTCCTCGATTGCCGCCAGATTTCTCTCGACTTCTTCGGTGCGACTTGTTGTGGGCGTGAAGCAGCTGGTGCGGCGTCTGTCAGGCCCAGGTGAGTGGAAGTTTGTCTCCCATGGGTGAGGGCTGCGTCTGATCCACGGCCGACCGTCAGGATGCTTCCAGGAGTTCTCGGATTTGTAGGTGAGTCCAGGGGAATGAGGTCCACGAGCTCGTCCGAAGATGCCTTGCAGTCGGGAAGATCGAAATCGAGCACGTAGACTCCGTTGATAGAGTGTGCTCGCCCAAGGTATTTCCTGTCTTCAATGGGTTTGTCGGGAGGCGGACTCTCTCGCAGCTAGATTGGTAAGCTCGTGTCTTGTTGGTCCTCATCTTCGTAGTAGTTGTGACTATCAGTGAAGGGATTATTGCGGTGCACTTCAGCTTCGATTAGTTCGTCGGCGGGCTGCTCGTCTCCGTCAGGCGTAATAGCTCGTGGGCGACGGCATGTTGCCATATTCGCGATTACGTTCCTTGTTCCTCCCGTCTGAGGAGCTTGTGTCTGCTGTTGCTGTTGCTATGCAGGTTGACGGGGAGCTTGAGGTTGAAGCTGACAAGCGTCTTGTCAGCCAACCTAGCTGTTGTGGTGAGTGGAGTTCATGTGGCGATTTTTGGACCGGAATCGACATCGGCCCGTTGAATGTCCGAAGACTTTGCAAATTTTGCAATAATGGCGCCGCGGTTGTCGTCGCTCTTCTTGATTGTCAGCGTAGAAAGCGATGCATTCTCGTCACGGCGCGGAGCTTGTCTTGCTTGAATCCATGTGCTGTTGTTCAGTGAGGAGAGCGGCGCATAGGGCAGCTTATGAGATTGTCCCCCTTTGTCGAAGTAGCGCCTTGCAGGGCGTCCACTCAAGCTCGAGCCCGGTGAGTACGATGTTGACGAAGATTTCCTATGAGATCGCTCTCCCATGCTTCGTGATTTGATCCCGGATGTTTCGACAGCGATTATTATATGATTTTGCTTTCTACCCGTGCCCTATCTTTGTCTCTATGAGTTGCTGCAGGAGCCTGCTGGAGGTGACTGAGTCCTTCGGCTGATATACCTCGATGAGGTGCTTCCAGGCTTCCAGCGCTGGACCAGCGCTCTCTTTGTAAGAGCGGATGCCGAGTTGCTCCGTGGGCATCATATTCTCAAGAGCACGCTGTATGCCATTAGGGATTCACTGTAGTACTGAGCCCGAGCGTCTTCGGTGTCGTTCACTGGTTTAGAATAGGAGTAATGGTAGATATGCGCTGTCTGTAGGAGGAGCTCTAGCTCAAAACTCCATGTGTAGAAGTCCTTGCCGTCAAACACGGTGCTTGTCTTGATTTTTGAAACGTTAAAAACATGTAATTGTGTAGAGTTGATTGCTTCATCACTTGGACAGGGGGCTGTTGGTGTTGAATTTGTTTGTGTCGAGGGAAAAGGTGTGCGGGGCAGTTTTGCAGCCGTTTGCGGCGGGTTGAGAAGGTTGTACGGGTTGCGAGGAGGTTCCCGCATTGCCATTCCGCAACGCTTGAATGTCTTTCTCCATCGTTGGCAGCCGTTGAAACAGTCGCTCGAGTGCGACGGTGCTGATTGTAGTTGTCGCCTTAGTTGTTGCAGCCGGGTCGGCTTGGCCTTCAGCCGTTAGATTCGTCTGGCCTCCGGATGCTCCGG